GGCATCTATGTTCATCAGGGATATTGGCCTGTAATTCTGTTTCACTGTATTGTCTTTATCTGGTTTTGGTATTAGGGTAGTGTTGGCTTCATAGAATGAGCTTGGAAGTGTTCCTTCCTCTTGAATTTTTTGAAATAGTCAGAGCAGGATAGGTTTGGGTTCTTCTTTGAATGTTTGGTAAAACGCTCCTGTGAGGCCATCTGGCCCTGGGCTTTTGTTTGCTGGAAGCTTTTTGAAGACTGCTTCAATTTTCTTCATAGTTATCGGTATATTGAGATTTTTCCTGATTTAGTTGTTGGAGGTTGTATTTTTCTAGGAAAATGTCCATTTCCTCTAGGTTGTCTAGTTTGTTGGAATAGAGTTGTTCATAGTATTTTGTTTTTTACAATCCTTTGTATTTCTGTGGGGTCTGTTGTTATTTCACCTCTTTCTTTTCTGATTTTGTTTATTCAGGTCCTCTCTCTTTGCTTCTTGGCTAGAGGTTAATCAATCTTGTTTATCCTTTCAAAGAACCAGCTCTTGGTTTCATTGTTCTTTATATTGTTTTGTTTTGTTTGTCTCTATGTCATTTATTTCTACTCTGATCTTTATTATCTCCTTCTTTCTGCTTACTCTGGGCTGTTCTTGTTGCTCTCTTTCTAATTCTTTAAGTTGTAGAGTTAGATGATTTTCTACCATTTTTTCTAGTTTTTTTTTTTTTGAGGTAGGCCTGTAGAGCTATAAACTTCTCTCTCAAGACTGTTTTCACGGTGTTCCATAGATTTTGTATTCATTTTTATTGTCATTCATTTACAGCGTGTTTTTAATTTCTTCTTTGATCTTTTTTTAACCCAATCATTGTTTAATAGCATGTTATTCAGCTTCCAAGTGTTTAACACATAATAAATAGTGAATAATGGTAGTGATTATAATGATTAAAGTGGGGTCTAAAGATAGCCAGCACTAGAATCATTGAGGAGGAAGTGGAAATAGCAAGTTTAGACTAGGGATTCAAGAAGCTTATCTGTGAAAAAATGGAGAGAAATTAGTTGTTTAGGCATTTGGGGCCCATAGAGAGTGTTGTTTATAAGGCAAAGTGAGGAGACCTGACTATGTTTATTTGTCAAAGGAAGAAAGGGGAGAGAGGGGGGTGGAGGGAGAGAGAGGGAGAAAGAGAGAGAGAGAAGAGAGAGAGAGGAGAGAGAGAGAGAGAGAGAGAGAGAGAGAGAGAGAGAGAGATTTTGAAGGTACTGAAAAGTGGAGACTGATAAAGTCAAGACTGAGTTGAGAGAAGGGGATGGGATTCAGAACCCAAGTGGAGAATTTTGCTGAATTAAGAGGAGAAACTCTTCACAAGTGAGATTCAAAGGAAGGGAAAAGAATGGATGTAATCATGGGAAGCTTGTAGTGGGGACTCAGAGAGGCAACAAGTTAAGGGAGGTCTTGCCTCTGTGAAGAAAGAAATGAAGACACAAACTGAGAGTCACTGAGAAGGTGGTTGGGTTGGAGATTTGAGGAATGTAGGGAGAATTTAAATCAGATCCTAAAAGAACTAGGAAAAGGAACTAACTAGCAACATATAGAAGTGTTTTGGCTGCATTGAAGGTCCAGTTTATGTGTTAGAACATTAATTTATATTATTAGCAATATGAAAAGTTGTGTGATTTTTCTCCAGCAGTTCTCTGCATCTCTGGTGTCTATGTATTCTGATGTTTTTATATGTAAGAATGGAGGAAGTGGATGCCCAAATTAATCAAGTATTAGGCTTTTACAGAGTGGGTACAACAAAAGGATGCAGAAGTAAGAGAGGCAATGTTATGTGATATTGGTAAAGCCAATAGTGAAATTATTCATTGTGCATCTAGTTCAATGAGGAAGTGAAAACAAAACGAGAAAAAGAAGTTGTCGTGGGACTTGATGTCATGATAAATTGGAAAAGTATAAATGTCCATTCGTTCATGTATTAAACACTAGGTACTGTATAGATGTAAGGTATGTGATAGGTACTTAGCAGACACATGCACTTCTCCCATGGAGACCACAGTCTATTGTTTACAAAGAAAAAAATAATATGTATTAGATGGAGATACATGCAACTTACACACACACACACACACACACAATCACACAATCACACCTACCACTCTTGGTGTCTGGAGAATCACCTCATAGATTATAGATCTGCTTATAGATTCAAGAATTTAGCATGTAAGTCTACACAGTGGGGAGGGGTGATGGACATGGCTTGAAAAAGACTAAAGCGTAAGGGTTGTTGTAAAAAGTCATATAGACTGGCATTAAGATAGCTTGCTATTTTGATTATGTGAAAGTTTCTTAAACTTGCAGAACCTCGGTTTCTCCTTCCTTATGCTACTCACAGAGTTGTTGTAAAGATTATATGAGATATGTAAACCCAAATGTTAGTTATCATTATGAAAGCCAAGAATTTTATTACATTTAGAGGTGCAAGATGCTTCTGCCGACTTCAGGATAACAAAAGCTCTCTTACTGACTTTCAACTAACCAATTTAGTGACTTATATGATGCTCTCCATTCCCTCTATGAACTCACCTGTTGGTGTCCATTGACACATTGACAAGTTGCAGCTAGAAAGCTTCTCTGAAGTATGCCTATCTGTTTCTACTTCTGTTAGTATCTGCCAGTTTCATTTGTTGTTATACTTATGTCAAATAATCAAGTGTTACGTAGATCTGTGAAATGTTAGAGTGAACAGAACAAGTTATAGTTTTAGGAAACTTAAATGTTTTAAGAAGATTCAATAAAGTTAAGTGGCTACAACCATAATTACAGCCTCGTTAAATGCAAGTAAGACTAAAGTAAAACACTGGGAGAAAAATTCCAGCAGTAAAATCTAAAGGGGTTCTGCACCTAGATTGCTTTTTAAAATGGGAAACTAAAAATTATAGATGATGCAATTATTTATACCATGGACCTGGCCTTTCCAAGAAAAAACTCCAAAACCTTTGTCCAAAATCAGAAGTGTAGTTAATAAATGTATATTCGTTTAAAGTGAAAATAGGCAATGTCATTTTTGTGATTCCCTGCTGTACCCGACTTCACTGGATGAGAGGGTATTTACTGTGTATGCCGTTGTCCTTATCCACAGGGATATAAATCTGCAAAAGTGCTTTTCAAAGGAAAGATATTAGAGTTATAGAGACCCAGAGATGTCATCTACAATTGAAATTTTAACAGTCTATACACTACTGAAAGCTGGGTTATTAAAAAGCTTTTATTTATCATAGCATATCAAAGTCCTCTTTGGAAGTACTTGGCTTAGAATAGTGGTTTTCAAACTATGGGTTGTAAAATAAGTTTAGTAGTTCGTTTTAAAAGGATAGAATAGAAATCAGAGTGTATCTCAAGTTAAAGGGATAAGTTTGGAATTGGATAAAATAAGTTCATCATATACTGATAAGACAAAAGCTACAGATAATTATAGAAATAAAAAGCAACATTTTTAACCCAAATTTTGTTTGGCAGGACAAAAATATGTATTGGAATAAAACACAAGAGACTTTAAGGATGAAATGACATGAAATCAAGATAGGGAGTTAAACCCAGATATTAAACACTAGATACTGTATAGATGCAGGGTATGTGCATCTAAATGCTATAGAAGTGCACGTGTAAAAGAGGGAAGGAGATGAAACACGAAAGAAAAAGGGAAGAAATTAAACTACAATAGGCCCTGGTTGGGTAGCTCAGTTGGTTAGAGAATCATCCTGATATGCCAAGGTTGTGAGTTTGATCCCCTGTCAGGGCACATGCAAGAATCAACCAATGAATGCATAAATAAGTGGGGGAAAAACAAAATTGATGATTTTTCTTACTCCATTCCTTTCTCTCTAAAAATAAATTTAAAAAACCAAGTAAACAATATAACTAGAGGCCCAGTGCATGAAATTCATGCATGGAAGGGGGGATCTCCTCAGCCCTGCCGGCACCCTCTCCAATCCAGAACCCCTCAGGGGATGTCCGACTGCCGGTTTAGGCCCGCAGCAGTCAGACATCTCTCTTACAATCCGGGACTGCTGGCTCCTAACCGCTTGCCTGCCTGCCTGCCTGCCTGCCTGATCACCCATAACCACCTCTGCCTGTTGGCCTGGTCGCCTCCTAACTGTTCCCCTGCTGGCTTGATTGCCCCTACCTGCTTCTGCCTGCCAGCCTGATCACCCCCTAACTGCCCTCCCCTGCTGGCCTGATCACCTCCTAACTGCCCTCCCCTGCTGGCCTGACCACCCCTTAATTGTCCTCCCCTGCCAGCCTGATTGCCCCTAACCACCTCTGCCTCGGCCCTCACCACCGTGGCTTTGTCTAGAAGGATGTCCAGAAGATGTCTGGTCTAATTAACATATTACCCTTTTATTAATATAGATAATTATAGAATCTGTGGACCAGGTATATGGGGGTACATTATACTGTTTTCTGCTTTCATATATTTTATAACACATTTAAAAACTTTAACTAAAATGGAAGGAATAATGGGTATTGCAAATGCTAGATAGTATTTGAAGTTCTATCCATTTTCTTTTATTGATGGTATTCTTAACTGGCGAGTAGCCCTGTTGTGTTAGAATCCTAAGCAGAGCTGGTTGCCTCTGCCTGTGACTGCTGTAGTGATTCAAGAACAATGCACACAGCACATGTGCACTCGTGCACATGGTTCGGAAGAATTCCAGGAGAACCTCAGAGCAGTGAAACAGCTTTGGCTGTTTCTGACTTGAAGTTTTCTGAACAAGCACTTTCAGAGTGAAAGAAAATCAATTCAAAATGACCTCTGGATATTTCTGAGAGTATTTTTATAACCACATATTACCTTGAATAATGAGCTAACTTCTTTTCTTTTCTAGGAAGAACTGGAACTATGGCTTGTGCGTGCCTTATTGCCTGTGAAATATTTACAACTGCAGAGGTATGAAAGATGCTACTACAAATGTTGTCTTATGCTGACTGCATTTGCTAGTTCTGAAATGTCATTGGTAGGGTAGGATGACTATTTGAGTCATGGTATATAATGAAATTGTAATGGGAGAGGCTGTTATTAGAAAGCTTGGTTTTAACACTTCCTTATTTAACTTGTGGTTATAACTGATCTAGATACCCCTTACTCTGGGCCAGGACTAGGGTGAGGTCAGTGAGACACTAGTGCGCCATGGGAAAATTTTAAGAGAATGCCAAAATAGTCATAGTCAAGATAAATAATATCCTAATGCAATATTTTTAAATGAAAATTAATGCCAAAAATCAATGATATATACAGTAGGAACATTTTAAATAAAGACAGGACCAAATAGGGGCAAGATTAAGATGAGGTGAGTAAGGTGAAATTACACAGTGCAAAAAAGCTTAACAATCTAGATTCACCTGTGTCTCCTAGTCCAGCCCTGCTCTTACTCTGACCAATTATGGGACTTCCTCCTTTCTCACAAGAAAAATATCAAGATTGATTGGGTAAGTTCTCTAAAGGACTTTGATCCTTAGAAGTGCTAGGTAGCTAAAAGGTGATGTTTTCCAATTCAGAACAAAGTCTCTCCTGAGTGTTACTTTTGCATAGTCACTCTCTGTGGGGTCTGTGTCCTCTGGAAATTTCTGAGAAGACAGGGTGGGTAGTTTCACTTCCCAAAGCAGGGTTTTCAGTCTTTTTTCTGCCATGATCTTGCTGAGAAGTTACCACTTAGAGGACATACTCCCAGTAGCTCTGCACCTCACTTGGCCCACAGTCGAGTTAAGAGAAACTGTGCATTATGCACCATGCCCAACACTCTAATTCCACCATCTTCTTTTTTCTAATTTGAGGCACACAAATTATGAAAATGAATGTTCTAGGATAGTGGTTTTCAACCAGTGTGCCACAAGAATTTTTAAATCATGCAATACCTGAGTATTTAGTCAAGGGTACTGATCTCTTTTCCCTTAGATTGTCATAATAAAATGACAGAAGACACACAAAAATAGCTGTCTGGTGTGAATGAATCAAAATTATACCTATTGTTTATCAGATTGGGAAAAATATTTTTTTGGTGTGCTGCAGAATTTTGGTAATTAGTTAATGTGCCATGAAATGGAAAAGGTTGGGAATCACTGTTCAAGGGCAATGCTTTTTAAACTGTGAATCAAAATCTATTAGTGAGTTATAAAATCAAAGTATTGGGTTGTGACTCATATTTTTTTAAATAAAATGGAATAGATTAGGAAATATCAAAAGGTAAGTATTGTTTTATGAAATTGTGTTTCAGGGGTGTGTGTGTGTGTGTGTGTGTATCTCCTAGGTTTATTAATGTAGATTGTTGCTTTTAAATAAAACAGTTGGAAGCCATTGACTAAAGCCTTAGACAGAGAGCCCCCTGTGTGTTGCTGCATAAGTTGCCATGTCAGTCACCAGCTTTTCTTTCAGTCTTAATCTTCTCCATTTGTAAAATGGAAAGGTAGGAAGACAGACCAGATGACCTCTAAGGTCTTCCCAGCTCTAAAATTCCATGTCTTTATGAGTATTGGAATGAGCATGAGCCTTGATGTGGCTTTGCTAATTTTATCATTTTGGGTAGCCTCTGCCCAGAGACTGCTGACTTAGGGGGATGTGTACCCTTAGAAACATTAAGAATACCTTATACAGGAGAGGAAAATACAGATGATCCATGATTGGATTGTCCCCATTTCTATAGGACAGCCTTTATTATTTTGGAGAACGACGAACAGATAAAACCACCAGCAGTAAATTTCAGGGAGTAGAAACCCCTTCTCAGGTAAGTGTTCTTTTTATTTTTTATTTTTTTAAATATATTTTATTGATTTTCTACAGAGAGGAAGGGAGATAAGGTGGTAAGTGTTCTTTTTAAAAAGGGGGTCCTCACCCAGTCAATTTGACTCAGCAGTTGAGTGTTTACCTATGAATCTGGAGGTTGAAGTTCAATTCTCAGTCAGGGCACATGCCTGGTTTGTGGGCTCCATCTGCAGCGTTGGACGTGCAGGAGGCAGCCAATCAATGATTCTCATCGATGTTTCTGTTTCTCTGCCTCCCCTTTCCTCTCTGAGATAAATTTAAAAAAATTTTTAATAAAGAAAAGGGGGATTGACACCTATTATTTGGTTTCAGTTTAGACTTCTCCTTTGGTGGTCAGGCAGCAGCACTTGGGTGCCCTGTGAGAGGCCTTGGTCCCTCCCAGAGGCTGAGAGCTGGTCTCAGGCACTGCCTGAGCTTTGCAGGCTTTGAGTTCTCCCCAGAGCATATTGCTTCCCACTTTATGTTGTGATTGTTTACGGAGTTCAGGAGTTGCCCTCCTTCCCAAAGAAAGAAGGTCCCAGACTGCTGAAAACTAACTAAAGTCATCAGCCATTTATTTCCCATAGAGAGGAACTGAGTCTTTCACAATTCTCCACTAGGGCAGTTCTACCCTTGAAGAATATCATGTGTGTGAGTGTGCGCGCGTGTGTGTGTGTATGTGTGTGTGGCGGGGGGCGGGGTGGCGGTATGCATGAGACAGAGACAGAGAGAGAGATGGGGTAAGGGCTGTATTTTGAATGATAAAGAAAAGGGAAAGTAACATTTTTCATAAATCTATTATATCCAGACACTATCATATATTTCTAGAGGCCGGTGCATGAAATTCATGTATGGGGGCGGGGGGGGGCTCGGCCTGACCTGCAGCCGCTCCAATCCAGGACCCCTCGACTGGCTTCCCTCAGACCCCAGCTTCATCAGGAAGGAGGTCTGGAATGACGTTAGGAAGACGTCTGGTCTAATTAGCATATTATCCTTTTATTATTATAGATTATATTGCACTTTTATTTGTATTATCTCATTTAATACTCAGATAACCTATGTGAAATATATGCTATTACCCTTTTTTCCTTTTAAAAGTATTTTATTATCGAAATTTTAAAACTTAAAAAAATTGAGACAATCATATTGTAAGTCTCCTGATACTCATCACAGCATTTCAACAATCACTTGATTATGTGGCCAATCATGTTTTATCTATTTATCTCCACTTAGACACACACACACACACACACACACACACACACACACACACACTACTCTTTAAACCAGGATTATTTTGAAGGAAATCCCAGCCACCAGATTATATTATCCTGAAAGTATGTTATTATGACATCTACCATAAAGACTCTAAAAAACCCTTACAACCATTTATCATATCTAAAAGTAAAATAATATTTAATAGCATTAAAGGCCTACTTTATCTTTTAATTTCCATAATTACTTTAAAGTCTTTTTAAAAACTTAGTTTGTTTCAATCAGGATCCAAATAAGAGCCATATGTTTTATTTGGTTGCTATGTCTCTTAAGTCTTTTATGGTTTATAGGTTTTCCACCTCTTTTTATACCTTGTAATTTGTTTCTTGCAGAAAGTAGGACATTTATCCTATAGAGTTTACAACATTTTAGACTTGATTGGACCATGCTAAAGGTTTTACATTCATTATCTCATTTCATATTCTCAATACCTGTGAGTAGATACCATCATGATTCCCATTTTATAGCTGGGAACTTGAGGTTCAGGGAAATTAACTTTTTAAACCAAGAATGCAAATCCATATCTGTCAGACTCTGAAGCCTGTTATTTCGCATCCTGTGCACAGCTTCTCCTCTCTGTTGCCCCTCAGACCAAAGTGAGAACTGGTTGTGAATTCTTGAATAGAATGGATGTGGCTGTGAATGAAAGATTTTGGGGTGAAGTGATGTGAGCTGAATAGGTACCTTTGGCCTTGGTAGCAGAACACTGCAACTGCTAGTTCAGGGGATAAGAACTCAGCCTTATCCCGTGAAACTTTCTGCCATACGTAAGGCGGGGGAAAAAAGATAGCTATAGGCCATACTAGAAGTCACACTTGAACTTACCAAAGCCCAGTCCAGCTCGAATCATGCCATTTCCATGCTCAAAATCCATAATGGCTTCTGACTGCCAATGGCAGCAAATATAATTTGTTAACCTTGCCCCCAAGATCTATGATTTGATTTTCCAACCATTTCTTCCACTGTGTGCATTCACATGTCCCACACTCTCACACACTTGGGCTGTATGCTATTTCCCAGCTCATCAGCACTTTACACCCACATGCCATTGCTCACATGGCCCCTTTTCCTGGAGTTCCTTTCCCTTCCCAGCCTGATAGTCTCCTACTCTTTCAGTTCTTCTAGCCCTTTGTGTTTCTTTTAGAGGTTACTTTATATTATTTTCTAGCTATTTTCAATGGTGAGTTCTCTACCCCTTTTGCCTAAAGCCCATATCTTAACCCATCTTTCCACCCTAGGAATTCCCAAGTGCCTCATACAGTATCTCCCCTGTTCAGAGCAAGTGCTTACTAAATATATGTTGGTGTGGTGCCAGGGAGTTGGCATGAACTCCTGCTGCAGGCCCTGTAGTTTTAGGTGGTAGGGGAAGAGATAGTGACAGCAAAGCAGCTTGAGGGCCATGCTTGATTACAAGCCTTAAGCAAAAGGTAGAGAATCTGGTGGCAGGAGCTAAGGGCGTGTTAGATATAACTCCTTCAATGACTATCCTTGTACACCTTACCCCCCTTCCCCCATTTCTTCTGCAGTTGTGCACAGTTTCTCTAACTTTAGTCCAGAACTGGCACACCCTAGCTGCAACAGAATCTCTTCTGATGCACTGGGATAGAAATGCAGGGCCTCAGCCTCAGGCTGAGAACTGTGCTGGCAAGGCCCCAGGACAGAGTTCCTTCTGCGTGGGGTGGCAATTCTCAGATACCATCACATTCTGACCCTATACTGCTGGTCATTCTATATGGGCCACATTTCATCCATCCCTGAGTTAAGGACTTGCATGAGCCTTTCTCTTTGCTGGCCCTTTCCGATGAAAAGTATGGCAGTTAATTTTATTAACACTTCCCAATGGGTGGGGCAGAGTCGATACATTTTTTAGTCCTGTTCATTCAGTACCAGAACTCTTCAAAAAGAGTGAGCAGCCTGCCATAGAGAAGGACTAGGCTAAGAGAATTCCCAGGGCTTCCTTGCAAAAACAAAATTGGAGAAGTGGAAAGTGAAGAAACTCCAGCTGGCAGAGACAAGAGAATGTGTATCTCCCACTGGCCTGTGGAGGGCTTCCTCTTGAGTTTTCACATCTGCCCTCCCTCATGCCTAGAAGGCTACTCACCACCAAACCACAAACTTTGCCTTAACGCAGTCACAACTAGGCCTCTGACCTCACATAGATTTGTTCTCATTCGTTTCATGCTCAAAATCCATAGTGGCTCCTTAACTGTTTCCTGCTGGGATGCTGTTGTCTTGTTGGTTCTGGTTAGCTGCTCTCTCAATCACAGGAGCCTGTCAGCAGCACCTGGCTCCTTCCTTGTTACTCCTCCACCACGTTTTTTAGGGTAGATATTCAGTCATGAGGCAACCTCGATAAAAATGCAGTTATATAATGCAGTTATATAATGTTCCCTTAATTAATTACTCTACTTAAGTTCTATGTAAAAAAATCAGATATGCTGACTTTAAACTTTTCATCTCCACTTAAATTAAGACTTCTGTGTGTATTTTCTCCAGAATAGGTATGTTGGATATTTTGAAGATGTGAAAAATATTTATAACTTGACTCTCCCTCCAAGAAAAATACTTAGGATAAAAAAATTTGTTATTTATTCAATTCATGGTAAGTGCTTTAAATATTATTGGAGAATTGGGCCGGTGGGCAATGTTCTTACTATTTGGGAGAATTTTGCTCACATTTATACATACAGAGAATCCTAACTCTGAACTATCTTGTATATCCTCACATATGAACCTCTCCCTGGAATGGCCATCAGCCCAGGAGTGCTGTGGCCGGACTACCAACCCTTACGTTTACCTTTCCCATCATCAATTTGGGGTGCTCCATCCCCTTCCTTATTTCCTGTTCTCACTGATGCCCAGGGTAGACTTTTCACAGTGGAACCTCTGATTCAGAAGAGAGGAAGACCCATGAGTCCTGGAGACCATTTTCTCACACCCACCTCTAGTTTACGTTTATCTTGGCAGAGGCATCCCTACATCATTTTTTCACCTACCCCTTTCAGAGATCCTTTCACTCTCATCACCCTGGTCTTTCTCTCTCTTCCCCCTTCCTCTTCCACCTATAGCTCTCTCACCTTCAGCAACTCCATCAAGATGTCTTAAACATCTGGCTTGCAAAATAATTTTGTTGCCAGAAATTCTCTTTACAAATAACTACCAGGACCCATGCTAGTATTTCAAGTCCCTGGGTGGTGGCAGAGGAGCGTAATGAGTACATAGATAAAGAGCTGACCATAGTGTTGGGGGCACACAGAGGCTGGGCCCAGTCCATCCTGGGGGTCAAGAAAAGCTTTCTGAGGTCAGCACTTAGGTCTTTGTTACCTGATCTGCATGAACACAGAAAGAGTTGGGAAAAACCTGGGCTCTGTGGGGTATCTTTTGGCCTCCCAGCTGTTACCAATTATTTATTATTACAAGGAATGAAAATCCTTATAAACCTCAAAAGAGTTGACTAGATCCACCATCACCCAAAGAATCAGGAAAATTCATTAGATCATTCATCTCTGGGACTTTAGAAAGAAAAGAAAAAAGATGGAGAGAGGAACGGGCCTGAAGTCCCATGACTCTAATTCTGTCATCCACCTCGCTTCCCTGCACAGCTCACCCTTAGAGGAACTGGGGAAGCAGAGCGTGGTGTGGAAGGGATGTCATTAGGTCTGCACCTCATTCTCCCCTGCAGAGGTGCATCGGGGGCAAGGTTCCCAAATTCTTAAAGCAGCAGCCAGACTGTGGCCCACTAGGAGGGTGGAGTGCTGGGCCTCTCACTCATGGTGTGGTGCCAGGGAGTTGTTATCCACCCAGATGGCTTCTGAGGAGTCACACAAAATAAGGATCTGAAAATATATATTTTTAACATTTCATCCAATTATTCAGAAATTTAAAAATCTTTAAAAATACATAAAACTGCATAGTCAGAAAATAAATTAAAATTGTTAGTTAAAATATAAAACACTTTTTTCAGGTCACACAAAAGAATGATCTGAAAATATATATTTTTAACATTTCATCCAATTATTCAGAAATTTAAAAATCTTTAAAAATACATAAAACTGCATAGTCAGAAAATAAATTAAAATTGTTAGTTAAAATATAAAACACTTTT